AAAACGTAAGTGGCTTAATATTAAATTCTTGTTTATTGAACTGCTGTACAAAAATCTGATTTCTCATGTTGCTTTTTCGTGGAAAAAACGTGTCTTCACGTGATACTGATTAACTATATGAAATGATTTAAATATATAAATTTCTGCCCCCATATGTTGCATTTTGTGATCATTCTAAATGCATTTTAATAAACTGAATCATGCAGTGAAAGAACCTGCACTGGTCTAACCTACTAGACTTCCTATTGCCTTAGCTAAACTTGAGCTAACTGGGAAGGGAGGGAGGGCTTCACTTCTGCAGGTCTCTGCATGTCTGTGACGTGATGTGCAGCTGATCAAATGTGCGCTACACTGCTGTGGTGCGGACATAGAGGGTGCGGAGGCGATGAGGGAGAAAGGCATCGGAACTCGACACTCGACAGTCTCAACATTTCCTGACCCAACGTGATATTTTGATTTTTTATTTGTTTGACAGGGACATCTGTGCGCAAACAGAAACACACACACACGCACACATATATTAGTTTACTTAAAATAAAAAAAATAAAAAAAACAGAAAAAAGGGCACTTTCTCTAGAGGAAGAAAAAGGGCAGGTGCTCAAGCCCCCTTTGATGTCTATGTGTGCACGTGCCTGTTTATTAATGAAGCTTTTAATCATTGTAAACCATCTTTAAAAATAATTTGAAGATTTTTAATAAGTACATGATCATATGAATTTAAAATTTAATGACATTTCTAAGCATTTCAAATTACATTAAATGATCTGTTAATCATTAGGTAATGTTTAATAAGTACATTAGTAAGCTTTAACAAGCATGTTGACACATTTCTAGCTATGTGAATTTATATAAACTAATGATCTGGTAAGCATTATATAATGTTTGTTAATGATTTATTAATGAAAGTTATTATAAAGTGTTACCTGTTTAGCAATATTTTTGACTTGACCACACAGACACTATTGGATGATAACTGAAATTAGTTGGGCTGTATGATGACATTGCTGTTTTCTCTACAGCTGCTTGATGAGTTAAACTCATTCCATAATTGAATTTAGTTTGCTTCATTGCATTCTTGTCTATCAGTGTAAAGCAGCTTTAAAACAATTTGTATTGTATAAAGCGCTATGTAAATAAAGGTGACCTGACTTGACTAAACTGTGAATCATTTATCATTGCTTTGGCACAAAATACATTCAGACTACTTTCAAATTACAGGAATTATATTCTTACTCAAATAAAACCACCACCAAACTATGTACTACAGGCCAACAAAACAGAAAATTGAATTAGATAACAAATGATTACAATTCTACAATAATACCATGTTGAAATATATTCAATACCTAAAAAAAATTAATATGAAACTTTAAAAGCAATTAGACCTTAACCTGAACACCTACAAAACTGTTTTTTTATTTTATTTTATTACATCTACACAATAGTGGACAATTTAAAAATAGATTTGTACTGTAATGTAAACTAGACCATGTAACTTTCTGCAGTGAATTCTAAACAGTAGAGATCTGTTATTCTTTTCTGTAAAGAATCTTTACAAAAGAATATACTGTGTAAGTCTACTTGTTAGCTTTTTTAAGTGTGCTTGTTGGGTGACAACCTTTGCTAGTGTTATGAAAGAATGAGTTGATTTGATTCATGTATGAAAGTGTTTTTTCATGTCTTTTCAAGTATCGAGAAATGTGTTCTAGCGATTTCAAGCTGTGACAAGCTTTCCCCTTGCTGGTGAAATGATAGGGTTGTGTTGACTTTTGTTCCAGGGAGGCGTGTAAGCGTGGGTTTTAGGGTACTGCCGGACTGATGCAGCTTCTGTGCCAACTCCGCAGTGCAAAGATGGATTTAGTTATTGGTTTAATTTGATTGGTATTATTCTAATTGGATTTACTGATTAATGTTTGGCATTAATGACATGACAGTACATTTATAATTATTCTTAATCTCTGACTTTGTTGCTCAAAATATTATCCTAATTTGTTAAATATCTTTTCGTAAATGAGAGAGCACTTCCTCCATTATATTATTATAGCTAGGTATTATTGGCTTAATATTACTTTGACTAGGCTATGTATGTTGCATATTAATTTGTCTAGGAATCTCAAAGCATAGGTTATGTTTTTTTATTTTTGTGCTAAAAAAATCAAGTACCTTTAGTTGTACTTTTACGTTTCATTGAGGTACAATATATCATTCCATGCAAAATAGTAACTCCTTTTTACCACCCTGTTTGTGAACCTTTATCACTTCTGAGGAGTGTCTTTATCAAGCAAGGCAGTTTTACAATTCAGCAGAAAAGTTTTATGGCCCCATATTACAATGCTGGCATGTTTCTGATGGAACTGACGTGATGCAAGTTATTTTGGTAAAGCTGCAAATAATTGCATTGTATTACAAACTTTAGCAAAATAACTTGTGTTGAGTTACCAAAATAACTGTTAGTTTTTAGTGAGAAAATAATAGTGTTTGAAAGGCTAAAAATGGTGGAGTCTCACTAGGACTGGATCATTTTAAGCAACACTGACCTCTGGGCTCAAATAAGTGTATTTATAGTGAGGTCACAAGGAGTTCATGTTATTCAATTGGCCTTATGTGAACAAAGTACTAGTAGCCTCACACTTTATTGCTGGCATGCAAGCTCTAATCTGAGTCTTTTCAGCATATGAGTAATGAGATAAAAAATTCAGGACACTGTCAGCCCAGCACTTTTCCTGTATTGAAATATAGTGATCAAATCCTTAGGTACTGTATCACATAAACATGTGACATGTCTCTATTGTCACATCCTATCCTTATAATCACCATCAAGCCTGAATAAGTGACCTTTGTGTTTTAGAAATAGAATTCAAACAGAGAACAATTGTGAGCGTGTAATGAAATGGAACAAATGTTTATAACTTCACAAGGCTATAAAAAAAAGTGGAGACTAGGGCTCATCATGCAAAATAGACATGTTTTTAGCACCATTGCTGCTTCAAATCACAATTGCTTCAGAATAAATTTAGCTTCAAATAAGGCCAAGTATCTTTCTGAAACCACTGCTCAAAGATGAGAGAGAAAAAGACTAAGGCAGGAATCCTACTTGTTTATTTCAAAAGGAAAATGTTAATTCATCCCAACATTCAAGTCCATGCATTGATCATCTGAACAAAGTAAAACAGCACTATCAGAGAATAATTAAAATACATATGGAAATACATCATTACAAAGTACAGGATATTTAAAACACAATGTGAAGAAAACGATCAAAACCACTCTACCCTTCACATCATTTAGGTAAAATGCTTATGCTTTCTTTATAAACGAACGGGACGAAAGTTTGCAACATGAACAAAACACAAAACCATGACTTGACAGGTTAACCTAAGGTCAGTTAAGCTTGGCTAGTAATATAAATTCTGGTTTTAATCATTTCTGACATTTTAGCTCATAGCTAATTAAAAGAGAATACAAGGAAGAAAAATATTAACAGTGGCAGCTGCTGACAGGCTATTTTCAAATGTTTACCTAAGAAACACATTGTTCTCTCAAGAGAATTAAAGAGATCTCTGAAGAAGCGTAATCGGGAAAATGGGGGTGGGCCTCTTTTTTTTTTTTTGTTCAAAGTTTGAGCTGGTGAAAAACCTCTTTGCACACAATTGAGAATGACACACCAAAAGTTCAACTGAAATGTAACATTCAACCAAATGTAGCACAGATCAATAACAGGCTCACAACAAGGAGCCTAATACTTGGTCAAGAGTACATTGGAGAGTGATTGAACAAAAGACAACACTAAAGCTCATTAGATGAAAGGTAAATTGGAGCAAAATGTATTTACGTGATGCACACACCAATGAATATTAGAGACATACAGTAGCAAATTAGAGTGCATATGTAAGTTCAATCAACTTTTATTAAAACGAAAGAAAGAAAGAAAGAAAGAAAAAGAAAGAAAGAAAGAAATAAAGAAAGAAAGAAAAAGAAAGAAAGAAAGAAAGAAAGAAAGAAAGAAAGAAAGAAAGAAAATACAAAAGTGACACACACACAGAGCGCTTGCTGAATGACAGAAAGCTGCCGCTGTATCCTCCGCACATGCTTTTAAGCGTCCTGGTCACTACGTCACCCCGCCCGTGACGTGTCGCCCATCCATTGGACTGATTACACATGTGATTCAGAGCGTGGTCATGCTGAAGGCGTTCCCAATGTGTTTCGACGCAGCTCGAGTTCCTGAAGGGGAAACACGATATTGTAATGCATTACTTTTAAAAGTAACTTTTCCCCAACCCTGCAAAAGATAGAATGCATTTGAGTGAATGAATTTGGGGAGCCTTATTTGTTCAGAGTGTAGTCAGGTGTTCAGGTGAACTGTTTGCGTCTGTTTTGGGCTTAACTAGTTATAGTTGGTTATAACTAGTTTGGGCTTAACTGACTAAACTTTTACAGTACAAATATCTGAAATGAAGATAAATTTACTTGAGAAACAAAAATATAAAGAAAGAAAGAAAGAAATAAAGAAAGAAAAAGAAAGAAAGAAAGAAAGAAAGAAAGAAAGAAAGAAAGAAAGAAAGAAAGAAAGAAAGAAAGAAAGAAAGAAAGAAAGAAAGAAAGAAAGAAAGAAAGAAAGAAAGAAAGAAAGAAAGAAAGAAAGAAAGAAAGAAAATCCAAAAGATTATTAAGGGAGATCGCTCTTAAAACACATTTACATCTGCAACAGGATGACTCAGGATGCAACTCGCTACACACAAGGGGCATTCAGTATCATGATGCAAGAGAATCATGTGAGAAAACCACAACTAGAATTTTTATTTTTTAATCCTTTGGAGTATTATAATGGTTATTTTGTATGTTGGTTTTATGTCAACATGGAACCAGCATAATGTCAACACGTGAGTCAGACACTAAAACAGTCATTATTATGTTAGTAAAACTGCCACTGCAATAATTTCCTGTTATCTTGGCTGATTTCCTGTAATCTTGGGCCTATTCAAATACGGTCTTCTTGACTTGACTTCTCTACACAGAGCAAGGCCCATAGAGTTTTTCAGTGTGGATTATCATCTTATTGACAGTTAGGAGTTAACACATTTTAGGAACATAAAAACAATGCCTGCATCAATAAAAGACTTGGAATAAAAATCACAGTGTTAAAAAGTCAAATCATGACATACCATTTAAAACAAATCCCAAGTTAAAACCTAACAGGTCAACATGGTTACCCAATAGAAAACTTTGGGCTAAAATGGAAGACAATAAAAATAGGTTCAACATCCAATAAGGATTAAGCTTTGACAGGTTGACAGTTTTTTCTCTTTCTTTATCTAAAAAAGAAAGAAAAAAAAATTCCACCAATATGGTGGGGGAAAAAAACATGCAGTGAACATGCATTGTTAGTGATCCAGGTCATAGTGAATATTAAACCCTGCAGTTTAGACACATCTGTTGTATCACTTGCAAAACAATCAAAACAAAACATTAATTATATATATATATATATAATGTAAAATCCCATTTGAAAAGTGTAAATGGGGTGTGAGTAAAATGTTATTTTTCATGAAAGAAAAACTTTAGAGTTTTAAGAAAGGAAGAAAGGAGACAGAATCAAATGTCAGTGTTGTCCTCTTTGGAATACTCTTCCACCAGCTGTTCATAAGAGTGGCCATGGTCCAACCCTTCTGTGGTGAATACGGAGGTCTCCGATTCTGAGCCCTGTCCCTTTTTGAAATCCGTCTCATCAGCAGTTGAGAACTTCGGTATAAATTCATTATCATCATCCTCCAAGTTGTTGATTAGCAAATTCTCTTCATCAATGAAGGTAATGTTGGCATTGGGAAACATGAGGGTCTGGTAACTTTTGGAGTCCCATGTGATCCGGCCATCGCTGCAGCCTCTAGGTTTGAGACCTTTATGGTTCTCTCCTGCCTCCTTGTCCAACTGATTCTCATACATTCTTATACAGTCTAGGTCGGTGTCTGTTTCTCCTTCCCCGTGCATTTCATTCATGAGAAGACATTCCTCTTGGCTAAGAAGGTAGCTCTTGGATTTTGAGAGAGCTACAGTAACTCTGTCACTGAAGCTATAGCGGCGCTTCTGTCGAGGTGAGCGGTCTAGACTGAGAATGGAATTTCCATGAATGGAAAGACTATCACTGCAGCTCTTCGAGTGGTTTGGTGCTTTATTCTTGCTGCCGGTGACTAAGCTGACACGTTGATCTTCTCCTTCCTTCTCGGCACCTATCTGCTTGATTAAGTCATTATAACATTCTTTTCTCTTGGACAGGAAGCTAAAGATGTTGGCATTATTGGGAGTTGGTGGCAGATGTAGGGTCTTGTGACTTTCCTTGATGCGCTGTAATTCATCCAGAGAAAGTTTGCGCCTTTTACGGCGCTTCTTTAGAGCTTTGTGAGCCTCCACAACCATGCGCACCTTCCAGTTGAAAAACAAAGAGAGCCATGCCAGACCAAGATAAATCCACACCTCTACAAAGTACCGATACAGAGTAGGGTAGGCAGCATTGGGGTCAACACCTAAACAAAACAGATACAAAGAAAATAGTTTGCAAATTTATAATTAAAATATGTCAACAATGTACAGTTTATACATTTATGATTAACTCTACTATACATATATGCCTTTCTCATGAACTCAAAATGACTCCTATCTATGCTTCACTAAAACAACTTACACTTGGAGACTCTGAATTTCCCAAAAGTAACTAGACTAGTGTTGTCAAAAGACCCGGTATTTCAGTACCAAGTCGGTACTAAAAAAATGAAAACGTTACGGTACCAGGTTTTTTTAAGTACCGGTGGTACCGAGTACCCGGTCAACCCGGATGCGCTATCCGAAAGCTATCCTCTTCCAGTGTTGCCAATTCCATATTTTAATTTGAATTTCGGATTGAAATAAACATCGACGTTACGTAGTTAATACGTAGTTAATCGTTACCATAAGCGCGGCTGACGCTAATATAATGAGCATTAGAATGAATTTTGTTCAAAATGATTTTAGGCCATTGTTGAGTGTAATATGGCTGTTATAGCTCTTAAAAAGAACTAGAGAAGTATAGCTTGACAGGACAAACTTTGATGTTGGCTTGACAAATCCTTTTTTGAAAGTAAAAAAAAAAAAATTGAAAGTTTGATGGTTATATAGATGCAGGCGGCTAAACACGCAGCTAGCTAGCTAGGCATTGATAACAATTTAACATTGTTGCTTACATGTTTAGCACATCTTAATATCTTAATAACCTGACATGGTCCTGTCACATTAACACCCTGGTGAAGAAGGCCCGTCAGTGTCTGTTCCACCACAGATGCCTGAAGGACTTTAAATCGCCCTCTAAGCTGCTCAGGAACTTTTAAACCTGCACCACTTAGAGCATCTTGATGGGAAACATTACAGCCTGGTTTGGGAACAGCACAAAGACAAACGAGAACCCCAGAGGGTGGTGCAATCAGCTGAGCTTGGGCTGGGCATAATATTGAGTTTGTACAATATATCGATATATTGTATCGCAGATATCACCCAAAGAAGTTATTGTAAATGAAATGATCACATATAATAGTTTTGATGTGCTCTGCTTGACTGAAACCTGGCTAAAACCAAATGATTATATTGGTCTAAATGAGTCTACTCCACCAAGCTACTGTTCGTGAAAAGCGCTACACAAATAAACTTTAATTGAATTGAATTGAAAAGGTCTGGGAACATTGGCAGCTTTGAATGGCCAAGGCCCACTCAAGAGGCCATAAGACTGATCACGTTTCGTTTTGTGCCGTTCATGTTTAGGGGCGTGGAAATGTCTCCACGTTAACAGACCGGTGTGTAAAACTCTTGGACTTATTCGAAAGATTCTATGCCACGAACTTTAAATATTTCACATGCTTTCGAAAATCCAGTGTCTAGCTGATCCTGATAAGCACTCGTCACAGTTGTAAATATGAAGCTTTCTTCTTCCATGAGGGGGTTTGCCTTCACGGCATCTTTGTTTCCATGTGGAACATTAAAGAACGCGACATACACATTTCCCAGAAATCCTGTATATTTCAACCAATCCGATGACGACTTCAAAACTCCTGAAGTGTTTCCAATTTTGTGTGCTATATGCATCAGACATTCAGCCACCGATGTCTGTGAGCGTGACGTCTGAGGCTGAGAATACCTTTATTTATATAGTGCTTTATACAATACAGATTGTGTCAAAGCAGCTTTACAGTATTAAACAGGAAAATAGTGTGTCGATAATGCAAGAGGACAATAATACGACTTCAAAACTCCTGAAGTGTTTCCAAGTTTGTGTGCTATATGCATCAGACATTCAGCCACCGATGTCTGTGAGCGTGACGTCTGAGGCTGAGAATACCTTCATTTATATAGTGCTTTATACAATACAGATTGTGTCAAAGCAGCTTTACAGTATTAAACAGGAAAATAGTGTGTCGATAATGCAAGAGGACAATAATAAACACTCAATTTTTCAGTTAAAGTCAGTTCATTATTGATTCAGTGATGTCATCGTTCAGCTCAGATCAGTTCAAATAGTATCTGCGCAATCAAGTCAAACACATTGCCAAAAATTAAGAGTCCCCAACTAAGCAAGTCAAAGGCGACAGTGGCAAGGAACCAAAACACCATCGGTGACAGAAATGCTGAAAAAAAACCTTGGGAGAAACCAGACTCAATCGGGGGGCCAGTTCTCCTCTGGCCAGACGAAACCAGCATAGTGTGGTTTAATTCCAGACTGCAACACAAATCAGAATTGTGCAGAGGACTTGTCTGGTTCTCGTGGTCTTGTGCTGATGGCCGTCTAGTTGACGAGTTCTTTTCAGGGGATCTGTCTCTGGGGCTCATCAACCTAGACAGTGTTCTATGTTTTTACATGTGGAGGTTTTTGGTCCGATAATTAACACCTCTATTTTTTCAAAATTTAGCAGTAGGAAATTACTAGTCAACCAGTTTTTTATATCAATGCATTCCATTAGTTATGCAAATTGGTATGCTTTGTTGGGCCGCAAAGAAATATAGAGCTGAGTATCTTCAGCATAACAGTGAAAGCTAACACCATGATTCATGGGGCCTGTTTCAATAAGGAGGTTTAAACAACTCTGAGATAAAACTCGAACTCTGTGACTTACCCTGAGATGGGAAACTTGAGTTTTCGGGTTCTGAACAGCTGAATTGTGTTAGTTCCCTCAACTCTGAGTGCGTTGACTCTGATTCACCATGGCAATAACACCCAAAAAAAAGGACGTCCGCATACTTCCGAGTCAACAATACGTAACTTTAATTCTTAATCACTGTTGTAATATCAAAGGTAAAAAGTGGCAGAACAGTAGGTTATTGAACTAATATTAATTTTCATGGTATCCCACAGGAATAAAAAAAAGCAGCTAAACATGAAGTATAAAAAACATAATTCAATCAGGTAAAGCTTTAAGCATAAAAGGTTCATGGGTGTAGGCTAAGACATATTAAATAAAGACATATCAAGACATTAAATAAATATCATTCAGTGTCTATTTCAATGTGCAGCAGCTTTTTCCACATAGTCTAATGCTCTTTTCACATAATTAAATGTTCTCTAATCCAAACGGTTGCATTTCTTAATTAGAGTAATGAAATTAACATTTGACTTCTACCCAGCCAACAGCAAGAAGGCTCACAAAATAATGAAGAACAGATGAATGTGTTTATTAGACATTTGCCAGTATTCGGTAATACGGTATATCACGATAATGAACATGCACGATATTGTTATCTTGGGCACTTCAAAATATCGTGAATAATTATTTATTTCAAATTACTCAGATTTTTTGAATGCATTTAAATAATACTTTCCCATCAACTGGTTAAAATGCACAGCACCGCTGTATGCTGCATAAAAGAGGCATGCACACTCTGATGTAAACAAGCCCAACACAGATGAGAATCACTTTGGGGAAAGAGTGAAGGAGACGTGCTGAATGAAAATGCACATTCACTTTCTGACAGCAGAGGGCGCTGATGGAACAGCAGAAATGTAGCCGTTACCCCGGTAACCCATAAGCAAAGCGCTGTGCTACTTTCTGAAACGTATTTAAATGATTTAAACAGCCATTCAGATTTTTGTATTCACAGTGGTGTTCATCACATCACTAAATACTTAGACTTAACGGCTATTTATTTTCAAACTTTTATACATTTTAATCTGGACTGCAACATGCCCTTGATATTGTTTGAAAATGTTTTGATTCCAGGGGCGTTTCCTCTGAGGAGGCAAGGGAGGCAGTGTCTCCTCAAAATATTGGATGAGAAAAAAAATTTGAACTAAAATAAAACAATGCCCATATTACAAAGTATAACATTATTTTTATAAAGTTTTTCTAAATGAACACTGTCCAACAGCGACACCCACAGGTAAAGCTACAGCGGAGGCTTGCCTCCCCTGAGCCCATTGACAATTAACAGAGACCCCATAGTGTGCCGTGACTTTACTGGGGGGTAATTGAGAATGAATGGGGGAAAGTCACGTGAGAGGAGGCAATGCCTCCATCGCGATATGATTGGATATGACTGGTTATGCTCGGCTGTGATTGGTTCATGCGATAAATCTCGCCTCTTGTGTTCATGCATATTCTGTGTTCGCGAATCAGTCTGAATTAACAATATAATGGTGTTAATGGGAAGACTTATTAAAAAAAATAAGTAAACAACTCACACTTAGATATATAATCACTTTGTTACATCAAAAAAAAAAAAAAAGACTTAAAATGGCCTGAAAACATGACCTAATAATTGTGATAATAATATTATCACATTATATTAATAATAATAACAACATGACCCATAATTAGTGAGTAATTAGCTTGGTAAAATTTAAAGTAAATCTCTGTGTCTGTGACCAATATTTACTCAGCTTTGATGGCTGATGAACCCGAATAATTCAAAAAGTTAAAAGTAAACTATTAAAAAGAATAGCTGAACATAAGTTCACAAATAAAATATATTGTTTAAATTGTTACTGCCTTGAGTTATTATTTTAATAAATGCAAAATGCTTAAAAACACTAACTTGAGATGAACACATGGCTTTAATAAATATAATATTGATTACATTGTTGTTAATGTAAAAATATAAAATAGAATTGTATTTTTTTTTTATAGTGTAAGTAATGTTTATTTAACAAATAAAATGTGACTGGGACATGAATTTACATTTGATTAAAAAACAAACAAAAAAGAGGCCTTCTCATTTCCGAACACCACCGCACACCACTGTTTGATTCTTTATTATTTGGTCACACTTTACAATAAGGCTCCATTATTTTACATTAGTTTATTGGTTAACATAAGCTGCCAATAAAAAATGTGTCTAAAGCATTTATTAATCTTAGTTAATTTCAACATTTAATAACATGCTATTAAAATCAAAAGTTGTAACTATTATTTAATGGACCCGAGCTAACATGAACTAAAAGCTGTATTTTTTGTTTGTTTTTTTTACAAAGAATAATAACTTCTGTAACAAATGTAGCTTTTGCTCATTG